GAGTCTTCACAGAATTATCAGTAGTTGTCAGGGTGGATTCAAATATCTATCATCCTAGCTTCCAATCCCCTTGAACACAATAGTAATGGATGATCTGATCATACAATCTCCTTCATTATTTAAAATACCAGAAAGTATTTTCCCTAGAACTCATCCAAAAATAGAACAGGAAGCCTGCTCTGATACCAATTGAAATTCTGGTATGCAGATCTTAGATGTCCCAAGAAATGTTGAGACATTGATCTCTGCTTAACTAAACAAGGACAAAACAAGAACATTATGATATCTCAAAGTAATAACAGTGTCATGACAGATGTTTCAACATCTGTTAAGACATATATTTTAGAGCATAAGAATAGAGTGAATTATACATAGCATAATGATAAATAATACCAAGATATGATGACCCAGTTCGGTGTACAACAACATCTACATCTGGAGGCTACCAAGCCAGGAATGAATTCACTATCAGTAGTATTAATTTTAAGTATACAACCTCCGGTATACTTATCACTTAATTCCCTATCCAGTGCAACTTCTACCTAGAAACTCATCTAGATAAGAGAAACTCATATCAATTCCTAAATCACCTCAGTGATATCTAACAGTCACAACCTCTGGTGACTGTATCAAACTGTTCAATTGAAAGACAACTCTTTCAACACAATATTCAATCAATACTCTTGACTAACACTAATACTTGAATTTGCTTAAAAGCTTCATCCAAGAACAATGTATAATTCATTACCTGCAGGTTTTTAAATATGAAAAACTATGTCTACCACAATGTATCAAACCGATACAAAAGGTGACTTACAATACAAAAAAAACACACGACTCTCAAAACCCTAAACCCTTATTTTTGCTTTACAAAAGTCTTAACAAGGACTAGTGATTTACCATAGGTCTTGGTCTTCCTTTTATAATCTTCAGCTGTTCATGGGCTTCAAAATCTCTGTCCAATCATTACTTGATCCATGTTATGATTGTGCCTTAATTCTTGGAACAGATCTGCGACAAACCTGCTGTATCAGACCAAGATGTCGAGTCCTCAAGATAGGACATCTTGTCTGACATGTTGTTCTTTACAAATTTCTTCATATTAGAACATCTTGTTCAACATCATGTTTTACCAAAATTTAGTCAAATCTTAAATCCTTCAGCTTGTACTTTAATCTTTTCATTATATTCCCCAATTGTCAAGTATACCCCATCTCTTGTTTGTAATTTCTATTCGCTTTTCTTTCTTTTATTTCTTTTAGATAAATCATTAACCAAAAATTACAACAAAAAAAAAAATCTAAAATCAACCCTTTTCAAAAAGAGCAAAAAGTAATATGCACTTGATCTAACGCCGAGCCACTTTTCTCAAAATAAACCATCAACAATTTCCATCCAATTCACTTCATATTCAAACCATTTTCAAACCTTTTCATAATCATGAATAAACCTCAATCAACATCAAATGTGTTTTCCCAATAAAAATTTAAAACATCTAATAATATCAAAACACTTTCTTAATAAAGATGGAAACGGAACGGGGTGAATATCACGGGCTCTTGAGACTAGGATGCGAGATGGATATCTCGTTAATCCAAGCTCTCGCCATCACCAAAAACACATCAAATCAATTCAAACCTTTTTGTCTTTTGGCATAACCCTAAAAATCTTTTCAAAAACAAAAGATAATTTGTCTTAAAGTGACGCAGAGTAATGCTTCATATACAACCGTTGAGTTGATATAAGTGACGTGAATGTGATTTGTGAATCCATTCAAAGTGGTGCAAACGTCCGCTTCTCACCTGTTTTGGGTAAAACAATGTTTTTTGTCGATTAATACTAGATAACTTTCACTAAAATCGACCAACAAACAAATATTTTCTACCCAGGATTATGTGTGCCTTAATTTCTCTTTTGAGATACGTAGGAGCAAGATTGCGAAATCTTGTCATGCCCCTTAGTAATAAAAACTTTTTTAGGTCCCTTTCTTTTTTTCCCTCCAATAATTAACTATTTGTCATATTTTTTTTACCATAATAACTTGAGAAACCTATCATTTTAAGAAACGCTAATACACACAACTAATCAAACAATTTCCATTGAGTACAACATACATGAGGGGTGCTAATTCCTCCCCATTGCGTAACTGACTCTCGAACCCTGATATTGGTTGGGATGATCATATCATTGTCCTTCTTTTAGGGGTTTTATTTGATATTTTCTCTTTGCCTCTATGAGAATATATAAAGATCGATGGAGACTCTGTTAAGTCCATCACACAAGCGTGCGATTGCGCTTCGCGAGGCCGTGCACTCATTTTTCGAGGTACTCCCCTATTTAAAAAAGAATCATTGTTTCGATCACGTAAGTGACTTGAAAATGGGTCTATTTCTTGGAAGAATTAGGAGTGGTATGTATGCCCAAATGACGCGTGGAATCTATTTCACCAAATTTTCTTTGGTGTTGTCTAGCCTTCACCTTAGGTCTCGTAACAAGACTCTGTTTATTTATTTGTCTTGGTTGTTAGTCTGAGGATGTACCACATAGGTGAAATGTTGGGTTACGTGTAACTTCTCCACTACCTCTCTCTAAATCTCTTATCTATAAATTGTGTCTCTTTTTCATTAACCACGACTTAGGGAATTCTGAATCTTGTGATAATGTTTCTTTTGAAGAAAAGCAGGATTTTATGCCTCGTAATCTTTGCCAATGGTTGCATTTTGATTCACTTTGTAAAATAATCGACACTGGTAATTAAAAACTTTAATTGTCCAAGTGCGATGGAGAAATAACCTATGATATTCATACCTTGCTAGGTGAACGACCAAGGAGAGGATAAGTGCCCATTTATATCATTTTTGAACACATGTCATAACATCATTTATTGTCGGACAATAATAACTAGCTCTGAGATTTTCATTGGCTAACACTTTTCCTTCTAAGTGTTGGACTGCACAACCTTCATGGATCTCTTCTATGACTTCCTTTCCATATTCTTTTGTGAAACATTTCAAAAGAGAAATGATGAAGTCTTTTTGGTTGAGGTCACCTTCAATGAGTGAATATAAACAATATTTCCTCCAGATTTTTGATGCCTCATTCTTATCTTGTAGCAATGTTCACGTCGTTATGTACTCTATGATGGGTATCATGATCATCCAACTGTATGGTAGTTCTCTTTCGACTTCTCCCTCTACATCATTCACCCTAGATTTACATTTGGGCTAACAATGTCTTGTATATCATAGTTTTATTATAGTCTTGTACTTTGAAATTGTCTAGTTTGGATAAGATCAGTTTTAAGTTTTGTTCTCTTGGAATGTGAGTGATTTATGCTTTACGAAATTTACCATAACGATTTCACCATTGTCAAATATTGTTGCATAATTGTTTCTCTGGTCTAGTATACACATTGTACCTGTGATTTGCCCAATTGTGGGACTTGACTATTAACTATATTGCTCATTTTCAAATGTTATGAGCAAACTGGCCAAATAGCCATTCATACTCATCTTGATTATTGAGAGCAGGGAATTAAAATCTTATTATGGCCTTAAACTCGAGACCATGAATATCGTTCTACAATGGACTAACCAATGTGTTGGAGGAGCCGTCTACAAATATTATCCACCCAAGTCCAACATCACTACCCATTGTCGTCATTCTCCTTTACTAAGTTTTATTTGAAGAGTAATTGGCTGATTAGGTAACCTGTTCTCACCACAATGGAACGTGCAACGAAAAAGAAGTTCTAGTAACTCAGAGTTTGACACGAGAGGTACGAGGTCGGACCAAATATTGTTATTATGCGACATTTTAGTTCTCAATTAATTTAAATCAATTTTCTCAACGATGTTGACTTGTTTTAAAAAATATTTGTGGTGTTTATTGATTTCTTTCCTTTAATTTAAATGTGCGAATTAATGTAGATCTTCCCGATCAGTTTCTTCTTAGCTTTTAACTGATTATTTAAGCAAGCATCGATTGAATACATGTCCCCAATATCTGTTCTGTTTTCACCAATTATAAAATGTGAATATTATAATTTTCTTGTACCTTTCTTGTCATTGAGGAATGACATCACGACCTTCCATATATTTTCATACTACATGATTATATTAGTGACTGTTATATGAGTTTTAACAATGCAAATCAAATATTGGTTTTGGTTTGCCATAGTGATTTGCATTTTAAGCAACACACTCAATCATATTACTGTTTCAAAAAGGCATAACAATACCACATGCAACAAAAGGCAAAAAATTTACAAAAGTTATGAAATTTCAATGAGTATGTAGAGCTAACATTTTCTTCTTTTTTTTTGAGAAATTTGTAGACGTACAAGAAGAGAGAAGATAAACCTTGGATTGTGTGGATCAGAAGACAAATTTATAGCAAAAATATAAAAGTTGTCAATAAACAAGATTTAATGGCAACTAAATGATTCATAAAGTGAAAAGCACACATATTAAAGGCAGATAATATGATTTGTACTAAACAATATGGCTTCAAATATGAAGAGTTCACAGAGAAAGCACATGTACCAAATCTAACAACACTTTCATAGAGATGGCATTATAACCTGTAGGCAATATGAGAACTCTTCCTAAAGGCAGAAAAAGTAACACCGTTAATTGTCACCACAAAAAAGTTTACAACACTTACAACAAAACAAACGACCAACAACTGAATAGAAAAGATTCAAAACTGATTAAAATATAGATGCCCCTGTCTTCATTCTTGGATGATTACTACTATAGTAAACTGTAGACAATGGTTTCTAATTATCTAACACGCTATCTCATTATGAAGATTGATGTCCACGTGAAAACAACAAATGGCCCCCAAATTTGTGATTAGAATGTTACCTTTTCAGCTAGACAGATATCAAGATTGGGAGATGCAGGAGTGACAGGCTCAGCGGCAGAAGCAGGAGCAGCATCAGATGCAGACTCGGCAGCCAAAGCAGGTGTGGCAGAGGAGGAGAAAGGCTAAGAGAATCACGAACAATATTTGATAATCTTCGCGCCCTTTATAGATTTTTCAACCTGTTTAGTAACAACCAATCACAAACTCTTATGGTTGTTTCATTTAGAATGATCTAAGCTCAGATTCACAACAAAACCTACTAGACTTGGCTCATTTATGGTTTTAAAATAACTACCTGCTTGAGATTAAAAGAACTCGAGTAATCTGTTGTGATGTTAACTTTTGCAGACGGCGAGTTTTGTCGCAAGAAGTCAACTATTCCATCAGGTATGGCAGGTGGTTCCAAACATGCTTTAAATGCCTTTCTTAACTTTGCAACTTCTTTACGTGACTTGGCAGCAGCTTTCTTTAACATGGCGTCTTTCATTAATAGTAATAAAGATCCATCGCGAATTGGTATCAGTTCTATTTCCATTGACTTCAAGTTACACAAAGAAGGAAGCTTAACCTCCAATAAATCAGGAACTAAGGAGAGAATCTAAGAAATGAGGGTGGATTAAGATCAGTTATATGCAAATCATTTGAATTTTAACAAAATTTAAGAAACAAAAAATCATCCTAAGAAAGTAAATATAAAGTCTAAAAACATGATAAGGACCTGAAGAACAGTTGAAGTGACGGTCAATGATTCTATATTGGCAAAGTCTAGCAGCCAGCTAAATAGAGCCAAAGCATCCTCCTTCAAAGCTAAAGATAGTCGTGATTGGATATTTACTTGTTTAATAGAAGAAAGTCCGCTCCCACATATTTTGTGAATAAGCATGTCACCGGTATAATTAAAGGTACAAAGACTTGGAGTATTTAGCTTGATTTTGGCAAGGAGAGATGAATTGCTATTCATAGTTAAATTGACAAGTGTCTCGCTTGATATGGTGAAGATATGTGCATCCATTACCTTACAACCACGAATGACCAAACTATTCAACTTGGTAAAAGCCAAAAAGGGCTCAACACAACCGTTTTCACCACCACAAAAGACAAAATTTGCTAGATCTAAACTAGTCAGTGCTGGCAAATTTAAAGAATTTGGAAATAATGTTTGTCTATTATTACTCCCTCTAGGGTAAACTGAAAGCTTAAGAGATGTAAGAGCCCGGCATGAAGAAACACAGCTCAGAATGAGATCACTATCACCACAGACAGAGATTCCTAATTTTTGAAGATGAGTGTTATGGGAGCAAACACAGTTTAAAATCTTTTGAAGAAGTTGAGGCTCAATATCACATTGACGATAAAGATCAAGTGCATGTAGTGCAGTTGATTTATCACGGAGAGACAAAATCTTAGACACAAAAACGGAAAAATGCTCGTCAGTGGTAGCTCTTGAAAAATGCAGTATAAGAGTTGGAATACATTTCCAGAGATGTTTCCATCTAGTGGACAAAAGACAAGTTCGAATAGCATGATTTGTGTTCAAAAATGACAAAATGTGAAGGATAACAGAGTCAGGTAAGTCACTTAGCCTGTCTTCATTTACAGAGAGTCTTCTTTTCTTCATCCTTTCTCGAATCCCACTTTCTTAGAGACGATCAGACAAGTGCCTCGTTTTCTGAACAAGAAGTAAATGAGCAAATTTGTGAACGATTGCAAAGGGAAACAATTTGGGGGAAAGCATTTTTAAGTCTCAACAGAATAACAATTTAGAGAATGTAAATAAAATACCTCGCCGCTGCCGTCGAGTTGGGATTTCTCCGATGAATTGGAACGCCGCAGTACGCAGTCACAAAAAATGGAGTAAATAAATGCTTTTTAGGGTTTGAGGTTCGCTATTTTCATTTTCTGCAACGAAAAATTGGTGGGGACCTATTGCATTGCCGAGGAGGACGTTTTATTTGTCATTATTGTTTGAGTTTAATTGTCATAAAATTGAGTTTAATTATTTTAATAAAATACTTTTCACATTTGTAAAATTTTATAAAAAATAGTATATTTCCTCCGCTACAAATACTTCATTTTGTATGCAAAGACAAATTATAAAACCACTTATAATTTAAAACAAAATCTTTTATAAAAGTATTTGTAATTTGAGATGGAAGGAGTATAAGATTGTTTTGCTTATAAGAAATATTTAAAAATATTTTTTGAGTAAAACATGATAGAAAAATTATAATTAATAAGCTTATAATTATATATAATTTATATAGAATTGATTCGAATGGTACTCCCGTCACTTTTTTAATAATTTTTATTTTTTTAATTGTTATTTGTAAAATTTAAGATAATATTAAATACTATTTTGTTAAAATTGTTATTAAATAATAATTATAGAGAAAAAAAACTAAAATAAATAATAAATAATTAAAAATATATAAGTAAAAAACATTATTGTATAAAAAGTAATAATATTAATTAGCTTTTTTGATATAGTAAAAAATAAAAAAATGTTACTTAAAAAAATTGAGATATAAATTTTGTATTTTTCATAAAATTATTAATTTAATTACTTAATAATAAGTGTTATTGTTGAATTTGGTAGGGACTTTGTTTATCGTGTGCTAAAAGACAAGAATTTGTGGTATATGATTTACGACAAGTGTGGAATATGTAATGGCTCAGTAGGTTCATAATGACATGTCATTGGATTTCATTTATCAGTATTGTTATCCCTACATATATTGTATATACTATTTTCTGCGAAATTATACGGAGAACAATATTTTTATAATTAAAAAAAATTATGAACAAGACATAAATATAATATGCATGAATAATTATTTTAAAATAGTGAAACAAAATTAATTAGTGAAATATAAAAAGTTAGTTAATAAAGTGATGAAGTTGATTAATAAACACTAGAATATTAAAAATTATTTTTAGTAGTGAACTAAAGTTGGTTAGTGGAAAGTAAAAAATTGGTTAATGAAGATACGAAGTTGTTTAATAAACGCATAGATATTAAAAATAATTTTTAACAATAAATAAAGTTGGTTAATAAAATGTAAAAGATTGGTTAATGAAATTATTAAGTTCGTTAATCACATCATTTTATACTAATATCGTTTAATTCAAATAATAAAAATAATAATTTTTTATATATATTTTTTTAAAATATATTATTATAATATTTTACTCTTCACCATATTAGTGGACATTGAAATACGATGTAGGTGTAGGAAAGTGATGTAAGAATATTATTTTTCTTCATTTATAGATAACGTGACCAACATAAGATATGATAAAAGTGCTTGATATCTTTATGTTTCAAATTGGTTTTTAGGGTCTAGGTTTTTTTGGGAATGGTCATTGTCCACTCAATTAATGGTAGACCGTTGAATCCTTATATCTGAAAAAAATGTGGGTTAGTTAATGACTATAGGATAGTAAGAATTTGGAGCAAGGCGATACCTCCCTTTGGGTGGCATGTCATCGTTGTCTTTTCTTGGGCGTCGCCTAGGATAGTAGCCCTACGAATATAACACTAAATAATTCCTCAAGCATGAGGAATTTTGATATAGGACGAAGTGTTTTATAGATTGAGACACAGGGGAGTATCCCAAGAACTTAGGCTATTTGAGGACAAGTTCCTTAGATGAAACTTTTATCAGCATTGGGAGATTTAAGTCCTTCAAACGAAATTACATGTAGCCCAATTGACGAGACAATAAGTCCCTTAGGCGAGGTGATTATCCTCTTGGACGGGACATAGAACCCTAAGACTTTTGATCAAGTCCCTTATGTCGGATATCTATTGCGCCTCTCATGTGTGATTCTTAAGTTTTACCTCGTTCGAGAAGACATTAAGTCCCACGAGCGAGAGTTTAGATAGCCTAGGGAGTCTAAGTTCCTTAGAAGAAATTAGATGCAGCCCGACTAATGAGATTGTAAGTCCTTCAGGCGAGGCGTTAGACTTCTTGGGCAGAACTTCCATCAAACCCTAAGACTTGTGATCAAGTATATTAGGTTGGATATTTGGCGCGCCTCTCATGAATGATTTTTGAGTTTTTCCTTGCCCGAGGAGACATTAAGTCCTTCAGACGATAGTTTAGATGGCTTTGGGAGTCTAAGTCCCTTATGCGGAACTAGACATAGCCCGAATGAGAGACTGTAAGTCTCTCAAGCAAGTCGTTTAACCTCTTGGGCGAGAGTTACATCGAGCCTAAGACTTGTAATCAAGTCTCTTAGGCTGGATATCTGTCACACCTCTCAGGCATGATTCTTTTGTGTTATCCCACCCAAGGAGTCCCTCCAGAAGAATTAGATGTGGCCAGGCTGAAGAGACTATAAGTCTCTCTGGCGAGGTGTTTGACTTCTCGGACGAGACTTCCAATGAGCCCTAAGACTTGTGATCAAGTCTCTTAGGTTGGATATTTGTCGAGCCTCTTAGGCGTGATTCTTGAGTTTTTCCCCGCCCAAGGCTGCAATGAGTCCTTCAGGTGAGAGTTTTGATAGCCTATGGAGACTAAGTCCCTCGGGAAAAATTAGATGTAGCCCTGCTGATGAGACTGTAAGTCCCTCAGGCGAGGCATTTGACCTCTCTGGTGGGATTTACATCGAGCCCTAAGGGTTTTGATTAAGTCACTTATGCTAGATATCTATTCACCTCTCATGTGTGATTCTTGTGTCTTATCCTGCCCGAAGAGATACTAAGTCCCTCAAATGGAATTAGATGTAGCCTGGCTAATAAGACTGTATGTCCTTAAAGCAAGGAATCTCTCGAGCGGGGCTTCCATCGAGCCCTAAGACTTGTGATCAAGTCTTTTGGGTTGAATATCCGTCGCTCTTCTCAGGCGTGATTCTAAAGTCTTACCATGCTTGATGATACACTAAGTCCCTTATGCAAGAGTTAAGATAGCCTAGGGAGTCTAAGTCCCTCGGGCGGAATTAGATGTAGCCCTGCTAATGAGACTATAAGTCCCTCAGGCATGACGTTAGACCTCTCAGGTGGGACTTTCATCGAGGCCAACAAGAATGACAAGTTTGTCACAAAAACATATATTTTCGATATGACAAAATGCGACAAAATGTTCTTGATTGAAGACAACATGTCTTAAAGTGAAGATTCTTCCATTGGAGTTTATGCATTTGTATCCTTTGTGGGAGTTACTATAGCCCAAAAACACACATCTGGTTGTGTGGAATTGCAGTTTATGCTGATTATAGGGCTTGAGATAGGGATAACAAGCACACCTAAAGGGTTTTAGGGAGCTGTAGTCAAGTTCCTTTCTAAAGAGCAGTGAGTAAGGACTTTCATTTTGAGTGACTAGAGAGGGTTGTATGTTTATGAGATAAATTGTCGTGGAGAAAGCTTCCCACCAATAGTGTAAGGGCATTTTGGCTTGTGCTAGTAATGTCAAGCCAAATTCAATAATATGCTTGTGTTTTCTCTTAGCCCTACCATTTTGTTGTGATGTGTAAGGGCATGACATTCTGAATTATATCACTACTTTTATTGCATGGTTTTACACAACCTTGTATTCACCACCACCTTCACATTAGATTGTCTTAATTCTCTTGTTAAACAGATTTTCTGCCATGTTTTTAAACTGGGTAAATCTACTAAAGTCATTAAGGAAGTGAACATAATATTTGAAACCCGAAGGAGATGTTACTGGTGCAGGTCCTTAGACATCAGTATGAACTAATTCAAGAATTTCCTTAGCATGAGAATAAGAGTTTTTAAAGGGTAAAAAAAAAATGCATTTTTCCATATTGACAAGCCTCGCCAAAGTTAAAAATGATCACTAGGTGATAGTTTGACATTACAATTTTTCAAGACTCTATCTAGGAATTTATTATATGGATGACCAAGCCTTCTATGCCAGCTCTCTTTGACAGATACATAAGCACACAGGTTCTTTTCAGTCCTTGAGAGCCGATACAAGCCATCTTTAAGTGTCCCTCTTAGAATTTCCTTCCCTGTCAACTTGTCCTTCACAAAGCAATAATTTGCATCAGACTCAACTAGAATGTTATTGTCAGCAGTTAGTTTCAACACACTTAATAGATTTTTGGTAATGTTGGGCCCATATAAGACATCATATAAGTTAAGCAAGTTTATTTTTGAGGAACCTGTGGCAACAATTTTCAATTTTTCACCACTTCCAACTATTAATAAGTTCTTACCATGATGTTCTGATAGATCCTCAAATTTGTCTGTTTGGTGTGTCACATGATTTCTTGCACCACTGTCAAAGTACCAATCATTAATCTTGAAAAGAGCTTCGTGAGGTTATAAAGGCATTGTGTGCTCCTTGTCTGTCACTGTCTACTGAATAGTTTGAGTTTGAATAAGACTTATCAAACCTGTAGTAGCAATTTATTGTTGTGTGCCCGACCTTGTAGAAAACTTGACATGTTGGCTTAGACATTCTTCCTCTTCCTCTGCCTCCTCTCCAACCTCTGAAGTTAGAGCCTTTCTAGTTGCTAGTAGAACCTCTCCAGTTATTGTTTATGTTGAATTTATTCCCTTTGTAATCAATTTTGTTGGCAACATTTGCTGAACCGTGAAGGGTTAGATTGATGAGGTTATTCAGTTGATCAAGTCTACTCTCAAAGGTC